GATTGAAGGTATAGTAGTAAATCCTTCCTTCTGACTGGAGATATTGCACTGGGTTCGTCATCTTATCGGTGATATTGTAAATTTTCCATGCTGACTGAGGGTACAGTAGTTAATCCTCCATCCTGACTGGAACTATTGTAAATCCTCCATGATGATTGGAGTTATAGTAGCAAATCCTTCATCAAAACTGAAGGTATAGTAGTAAATTCTCAATCCTGATAGGAAGTATAGTAAATTCTCGATGTTGATTAGAGGTATAGTAGTAAATCCTTCATCCTAATTGGAGTTATAGTAGCAAATCCTTCATCAAAACTGAAGGTATAGTAGTAAATTCTCAATCCTGATAGGAAGTATAGTAAATTCTCGATGCCGACTGGAGGTGTAGTAGTAAATTCTCCATCCTGACTGAAATTACAGTCCTAATTGGAGTTATAGTAGCAAATCCTTCATCAAAACTGAAGGTATAGTAGTAAATTCTCAATCCTGATAGGAAGTATAGTAAATTCTCGATGCTGATTAGAGGTATAGTAGTAAATCCTTCATCCTAATTGGAGATATAGTAGTAAATTCTCCATGCAGATTGGAGATATTTTACTAAATTCTCAATCCTGATAGGAAGTATAAGAAATTCTCCATGCCGACTGGAGGTGTAGTAGTAAATTCTCCATCCTGACTGAAATTACAGGGAATGCTCCATGCGGACTGGAGGTATAGTAGCCAATTCTCTATTCTGACTGGGAGTATAAGAAATTATTCATGTTGAATGGAGGTGTAGCAGTAAATCCTTAAGTTTGATAGGAACTATAGTAAATTCTCCATGCTGACGGGAGGTATAATAGTAAATTCTCTATCCTGACTGGAAGTATAAGAAATTCACCATACTGACTGGAGGTATAGTAATAAATCCTTAATCCTAACTAGAAGTATAGTAAAATCTTTATGCTGATATAGTCAATTCTCCATATTGATTGGAGGAATAGTAAATTCTTCATAGTGACTGGAAGTATAGAAGTAAAACTCCCATGATAACTAGAAATCTGATAGTAAATCCTATACTCTCACTGGAGTTATAGTAAATCCTCCATACTGACAGTCTTGACTATAAGAATAGTAAATTCGCCAATCTAATTGAAGAGATAGTTTTAAATCCTCTATGCTAATCGGCATAGCAGTTAACCCTCCACGCTGACTGGAAGGATAGTAAATTCTCCGTGCTGGTTGGAAGTTTTGTTGTAAATCGTCTGTCGTAAGTTAATTGGCATATCAGTAAAGCCTCCATCCTGACTGCAAGGATTCTACATTCTCCACGCTGACGGAAAGTATAGTGGTAAATCCTCCTTCCATTCTGGAACTATAGCAGTAAATGTTCTATAATGACTGAAATTATAGTAAATTCTTTATGCTGATTGAAGGTATAGAAGTAAATATTTCATGATGACTACATATCTTATAGTAAATCATCTACTTTGACTGGAGTTATAGTAAATCCTCCATACTGACAGTCTTGACTATAGGAATAGTAAATCCTCCAATCTAATTGAAGAGATAGTTTTAAATCCTCTATGCTTATCGACATAGCAGTTAACCCTCTACGCTGACTGGAAGGATAGTAAATTCTCCATGCTGATTGGAAGTGTGGTAGTAAATACTCCGTCCTAAGCTGATTGGCATAGCAGTAAACTCTCCATCCTGACTGGAAGGATAGTAAATTCTCCATGCCGTCTGGAAGTATAGTAGTTAATCTTCCTTCCTGTCTGGAACTATAGCAAATCCTCCATGCTGATTGGAGGTATGGTAGTAAATCTTGTATCATGACAGGAAGTATAGTAAATTCCCCATGCTGATTGGAGGTATAGTAGTAAATCTTGTATCATGACAGGAAGTATAGTAAATTCCCCATGCTGATTGGAGGTATAGTAGTAAATCTTGTATCATGACAGGAAGTATAGTAAATTCCCCATGCTGATTGGAGGTATAGTAGTAAATCTTGTATCATGACAGGAAGTATAGTAAATTCCCCATGCTGATTGGAGGTATAGTAGTAATTTCTCAATCCTTACTGCAGGTATACTAAATCCTAACTGTGTTATCAAAAAACTACTACTAAATTGCAATAGGTAATATAATGAATCTTTTTCGGACGTGCCGCTTGTGAGTGAAGATTCCTGAAGGTGTTCACATCAGTAGGAAACTATTTAATGTAGTATTGACCTAATAGAAACGCTACATCCTGCTATTATTAGTAATTTTCACAATAATTTTGGCCGAACCCTTTATCTTGTTGTTCGTGCTTTGGTAAAATAGATATTGTCATATAGAGATACCTTGCGGCGCCTCTGGGAGCAATTAAACATAAATCGCAGCAGGTGCCTTGTTAATCTCGTTGCAGCTTCCATGAAGCGTTTTTTTTTTTCGAAAAGTTCATCGTTAACGATGTACCTATCCACAATCCGCGGTCATTAATATCGGCACAGAATTGAAGACTGTGTCGCTGTCGTTTCGGTTTCATTGACAGCGAACACGTACTTCTTCACCAAATTTTGTTGTTTATTGATAGAATAAAAATCAAAAGCAACACATTTGTTTGACTTCGTGAAACATTTTTCGGAAATTGTTTATAATAAGTAAATACAATTGTTATAACTAAAAAACTAATAAAGGAACTTACTATAGTACAGTTGAAATAAAAAGGCATATCGTTTTTCTCGTTTTACAAACGGAAGATATCCTGTCTTTGCTCTCTAAACACGCCTCCTCCACAGCTGCGTCGAGACCTGCACCTACGTTTCATAAGAATCAATCGAATAAAATGAGACGACCGACAACATGCTTGTCTTGCCATTTGTACCTACATAAAATGGACAAATTTACAGGGTCGGCTTCATTTAGTTGGTTTATTTGTGCGAATAGTCATCTCTCTACATACATCGTTTAAGCTATTTTTTCGTTGTTACTATTTTCGTTGTTTTTGTGGGTGTTATTGTTATTTTTATTGTTATTTTTGTTGTTGACTTTCAACAAAATGGTCAGAGTTGAAAACTTGTTTGGAATGTTACTAATTACATTAACATCGTCTTCATACCTGTAAACTTCTATCGAAATCGATTTGGATGTTTTGAAGATTAATCTGTACCTACATACAGACATTTTGGTGGGCTATAAGGCTTCTGATGGTCTACTACAGATCGAGGTAGATATTTCTGGTGTGACAATGCACCTGAGGGTGAATTTCATTTAGAACTAATGCAGCAGCGATGAAGTTCTAGTGATACCGTCTAGTAGATGAATAAATTCGTTTCGTAATATCAAATTTGTGGCAGTATATCGCCATCTAGTAGATTTGTTGCTACCAAAGTTTCTCAAGCGTAAGACAAGGCTTAACTAAGATATTTAAAATTATTAATATTTTCTTTCTCCATCACGTCTCAATTATTTAAGCAGTATATTGTATTTTCAAAATTGTATTCATCTGAAGAAGACTCCGCAAGGCGAAACAATTACACTCGGAGAAATTCATTGACATTTGTGGCATTCATTATGTAGTAGTAACAATTTTAATTACATTGATTTGATTATAAACGTTACTAATGTGAATACAACAATAGTTAAATTCGGATAGACTAGATAATTGGAAAATTATTCGCTTGTTGTTGATAGGTTAGATACGTACTAGAATACAAAGCGAAACGTGTGTATAAACACAATTTATCGTGATATAAATGTGGAATGGATAGTTGCCGCAAACATACTTATTAATTAATGAATTTCAGCTTTCTCTGGGATAAGTTAGTTGTATTGTGGGTAACAGTGGCGCAGTCTTTTGTTATACATAATTCTATTGTTTAGTTGACCTGATGTGGAGTAATTAAGTTCTGTGCAGGCTCGAAACAGGCTTACGTCTAGTAGAGATGGAAAATTTATACTTTGAATCCACGTGGATCTGTAATGGCGGTTACTATAAGAAATTCTGCTATATAATCTAGGTAAAAGACCGGCCTGCTTATTAATTTATTTTATCAAAGAGAATTATTTCTAGCATTCTACGTACGAGGTATCATCATCATTATAAGGTCGTCAGTCCTAAGACTGGTTGGACAGGAACCTCCACTCTTTCGTATCCTGAACTAATCTTCTCATTATCTAAAACTGTGTGGTCTTCCAGTTTTAGATAACGAGAAGATTGGGGACGAAAAATGGGTTGTTTACAACAACGTCAAACGCAAGAGGTCATGGAGCAAAAAAGATGAACCGCGGATATTCACCAAAAAAAGGTGATGCTGTCTGTTTGGTGGGATTTTAAAGGAATGTTTTTTTTTTGAGCTTTTACTGGATAACACAACGATTAATTCGGAAGTCTACTGTCATCAGCTGGACAAACTGAATGATGCACTTCAACAGAAAAGGTCAGAACTAATCAACAGGAAAGGTGTAGTGTTTCACCAAGACAACGCGAGACCTCACACAAGTTTGGTCACTCGCCAAAAGCTTTTACAGCTTGAATGGGATACAATGCTACACCCACCATATTCTCCAGACCTGGCACCATCGGATTATTATTTGTTCCGGTCACTCCAAAATTTTTGAGACGGTAAAACCTTCACCTCAAATGAGGAGGTCAAAAACCTCCTCGATCAGTTTTTTGCCAGCAAAGACCAAAAATTTTATGAACGTGGAATTATGCTACTACCAGAAAGATGGCAAAAGGTGTTGGACCAGAACGGTCAATATATAATTTAATAAAGTATTTGTTTATTATACGAAAACTGTCTTTCATTTTCACAAAAAAAAGGAATTAACTTTCCGAACAACCCTATATTTAAGTGGGTCTCCCACACAACAGACATGAGTTTTTTGCTGTTTTTATAGATAATGGTACGAGTCCTTTGTGCGCAAGTGCGACTCGCACTTGGCCGGTTTTATTTAAAGTTTATTTTTCAATACCTTATTTATTGGCGAATATTTTTTCTCTTTGAGTAATATTACTATCTTTTTATTTTCAGTGTTTATGTTTCCTATGGGTCCACATATGTATACAGCGACTGCTTCTCTTGGTAAGTTTTACTATATTTTTTTAATTTTTTTTGCTATAAACTGGGATAAGACGTATACTAGCTACTTACGCTTTCTTAAGTTGTACGAAAAAAAAAGGCTTGCGGATTTATGGATTACTCTTACCGCATAGTAATTTTATTATTAATTAGTATGGAAATATGAATAAAACTAATGCTAAAAATTGACCTAAAATGTGGTTAGAAGTTATTCGTTATATATTTATATGGTTATTGCATTTTTCAAGTTTTGCTCCAGCACTCTGGTGTAATGCCATAATATACCATTACCGCCAGTAACGGCATCGACATTGGTTTTTATCATTATTATTTTCTCGCTTTTCTCAGTTTTCATTGGTTATTATTATTTTTATTATTATTATTATTAATATGACTTTCTCCCTACATTACACCAAAAATTTTTTGATGTATTCTCATGGGGTAGTTAATATAGCATAGATGGAGACAAACAGTTATAGCGTCAAGTAATACATACACATTACGTTGTAATGACAGCGGTTGGATACGCTTTTAGTGGTTGCCGTGTCATCTTTTATTATATTGCTTTTAACTATTGCTCATCCTGTTGCCCCGTGCCATTAATGTAAATTGTTTCGCACCCTTGTGGGGTTACGACTGGAGTAATGTAACAGAACATAAGATTCAATGACATACAGCCAACAACGTAGAATGTCTCTCCACGACATATTAATGACCATCCGTTTCAAAGACTAATGATGATACGGCGTCATCAGGGCATTTCGTGGTTTTCGAGGTTAGTTCTGAGTCTGTTTTGTAGGATATATCCCGTTTTATAAAGCGAGTCGACCGTTTTAAAAATAAAGTCCTAGATGCGATAAAATATGTATAATGTGCTTTTGTAGGTTCCTTAAATGAATTATAAATACAATTTATTATGCTTTTATAATTAGACCACAGTGCTCCCATAAAAGTACATACCATTGGACAAATCTGCGCATTTGTTTCCGCCATGTTTTTTAGGCTCCGCCCATCTGACAGATCCTTATAAAAGAGACCGTGTTAAATATTAACGTTAACTACTCAATCGAATGTTCGATAGTCTATTGGAATTGCATATGGAGTGATTTAATGTGCTCTTTCCAATATTGTTGACTGATTGAATTTTATATACCAATTGAATTTAGATTATTCGCCTAATATCATTGCTTATTACTAGTTTAATTTTTTTAATTTTCATCCATTAGCATTTCATTTTATTAAAGTTCATTTAATGCGTCTGTATTAATTAGGGAACTTTGTCGTAAAGTTGAAGTTACAAAAGTTTAGTTTTGAATAAATTATACATGAACGCTTTCTTGACTTTTGAAAATTAAACGGAAAAGTTAACGACAAGAACGAACTTCTTTTCTAATGAACGATTCCGCTAGGAAAGTTTGCGGTCAGGTATATTTGAGACAAATTAAAACATAGGGTGAAAATTTGCCTTTGTTTAAATTTTCTTTTCAACATTCTGGTTGGTATAGAGATAACATATTCTTTTCTCTTCTACAGGAATAATTTAAAATAATTTTAGCTTTTTTTGTCAGTGAATGATTTTAAAAATAGATTGTTAGAATTCACATACTTAAGCGTTTTTAAATTTTGTGGGTAATTACCTGGGCTTAGGGTCCAGCCGACTCTGGACGTGAATTAGTAACGAATAGAGAATTAGCTATAACAACTAAGTAGGTACATCGATAATAAATGTAAACAGTGACGGTTGTGGAACGACTAATAAAGTAAATATCAACAGCTTACTACTGTGCTACTATACATAATAACCTTTAAACTACCCTTGCTACTATTTTGTTTATCGCTTATAGGATGCAGTACTATTTAAAGTACACCTCGATATGGTATTAAGAACACAAAAGAAAGAAGAAAGTATCATTCTGTAAACTTTAATAGGTAAATTAATATTATTTGGATAGATAATAGTAATTTTATTAAATTTCCAAACCACTACTTATTGAGGTATTGCTAAGGTAGGTTACCTGTTTTATGGGTGGTTCGCCAATAGCCTTAACCTACTATTAGAAAAAATTAGTTCGGCAGCAGTAAACAAACTCACACAGCCACATACATACGTACACTATATTATTTATTTAGTCACGCAAAAACGGCGTACTTCATTTGCAGCGATCATATACGGTCGTGCAAATCATTAGTGCCCTGCACTGGCGTTTAAAATACACGCTGTTTCGTAAAACAACATACAAATAATTCAGACGAATTTAGATCAGGACTACGTTTTGGCCAGGGTACAGGATCTGACGTCCAATTCAGCGTCTAGGAAAATGTTCGTCTAGAAATTCAAGCATTAGTCAATGCAATTGTCCTTTGCACTGACATATGACACTAATATATTGACTTACTTCTAATGATTTCGATTGTCTATAACGTACATAATATATGTCTACAACATTAAAAAAACAAAGAGCTACTCTAGGCTGGCTGTAAACATAAACATTGTCAATGAATGAATCTAATTTAAAAAATAACAAGCAATACAAAAGGAAATACACAATGATGCTGCTAAGTAGTAGCTGATTGAATGCGGCGTTGCAATGTTCTATTTTCCTGTCTGATCCTACCAGGGCCGGACTGACCCTTGCTTACTTTCAAATACGCTTTTCTTTAAAACGGTGGACTTTTGGACCACCAAATTTTACTTAATTTTCTTGTTTTATAGTGCGCTCCTCTTGCAAGTTTGCTACTCACAGATATTAGATAGATACTGCATGACTTCACTTTCACTCCAAATTCCTATTTGATTTGGAGTTTGTATTTATCAAATGTTTTTGCTAAATCGTTATAGTCTGCGTGTCCCGCGGATTGCTTATTGGTGCAAAATATTGTTCGCGAACTAGAGAAGCCATGCGCGTTTATGCGTTGCGGGCGCCTGTTGTGCACCACCGCGTCGAGACGCTCGAGCTTTGGTAGTCCCGGACCAACGCCGCAAGTTGGATCACATAAACGCGTCGCTTTCGATAACTTTACCGCTTCCGCGTGGTGCTAGAATTCTAATCGCATGGTGTGTTTGAAATTGGTTACCCATTTTCGTCACCGGTTCACATCCTAAAGGTAACTTTTTTGAATCTGAACGGTCGCTAGTATACTAATATAAACCATCTATGACATCTATTTATATTTCTATTTGTATTATAAATAAATTTTTGACAACTGATTAACTGTATAATAAAAAAAATAGATTTTATGAACACATTTTTTTTTAATCTGTATTTTGAAACACTAAAGTGAGTGTAAAGCAAACTTTGGTTTTGACACTTTGTTTTAGGTTTCTAAACATTATTTTGTAGAATTTGGGGTTTTTACTGTTTTGTTTAGTTCCCGAGAATTAAGAATTCCTTTTGAATGTCTTGTTTATTTTACTTCATATATTACTTTATCTCTAATTTTTATTTAGTTCTAGAGAATTGAGAACTCCATTCGAATATCTTGTTTATTTCTTTCTTCATACATTGCTTTACGTCTAAATTAGCAAATATGATGAATGGAGTGTCGAATTTTCACAAATTTCGTTCATTTTTATGTTGAATATTTAAATCTAGCATTAACACAGAACAATATATAGATATAGTTAATATAAAAGAAGTTTTTTATTGAAACAGAATATTTTTTTCTGCTACATTAACCTTGCTAGTGTTTCTGTATTAAGTAATATTTAAAGACTTTATCAGTTTGATGTGGTAATATTATCTAGGAAAACGTTTGGTTTCAGTTTCTCTAATTTCACTGTTATTTTACACTTCTAATTCGGGATGTAAATGAAAACATTGCAAAAATGTTTCATTTTTAAACACATATCTGACATGTAGCTTGATTACGAAATACAATCTGTACTTGTGAACCTGTTAAATTAATTTTCTCTATTTGGAGAACATTTTAATACAAAACAGATTTATACGTTTTTATGTTAATTAAAACCGCAGGGCAAAATTACAAACAGTTACTCGCCTGAGGGAATTGTGTGACATTGAAATAAAAAAAGTGTTTCTTTCCAAGAATTACACTGATAATGAAAGTTGTAAAATATATAGAATTAAAAATAAATACACAATTTAGCTTCACAGTTGATACTATCATTATATATTAGTATGTGTAGTAAAAGTAAATTCTACTAGCAGTAAATTGTACGTACGTACGTACGTACGTACTTTGTTTTTGTAAATCGGCGGTTAAAAATAGTACGCAGGCAAGTATAAATAAATGGACTTGTGAATATCCACTTTGTAGTAAAAGAAAACGAAAGCGTTACCTATATAAAATGCTAGTTACAATTTTACATAACGTTTTGCAAAAATGCATTTAAAATATGTTTAGCGTATTATTTTGTTAAATTAATTGTGGAAAAATCTATAACTTACACAGTTTTGTTGTGAATATAGTACTGGATTAATAGGCAAGACTTTAGGTACTTCTGTTAGCCAAAAATTGACATTTCATCTGTCAAAAGATTAAATATATAATCGAATTTATGTAACAACATCTACATCATCTTTTTTAACTCGATTATTTGTTCCCTTGACTTACATTTATTTCAAATATTTTGACTCTGATTTTTTACTAACTCTATATTCAACTGTGGTTTTTTAATTCTAAATATTAATTCGAATTTCTATTTTTTCGGGGAAAAATTACATAAGTAAATATTTGTAGAGTAGTCCCTCCTTTCATAATGAGCCGCAACTGAATCAGGTTTATAATGGTAATGTCTTTATTTATTGGAAGTCATGACCCTTTCGCTAGGAAAAATTATGAGGAAAGGTCAAATCCTTGTTACTGGATACTTTCTGCGCCGCTTTTAAAAGTGTATAAAATAATTAAAGTTTTAATGGGAAAGAAATGAATACTAAAAGTACGTTACTTTATGATAAGGGGCATTTTCTTTGTTAAATAGTTAACCCAACATAAGACGACCTAATTAACGTGACATTAATACATATAGCTATAATGTAAAA